CCCCCGACTGCAAGCGGCTACTCTCGTTGATCGCCGTCTGTAGCCGTGCTTCAAGTCGAACGCACCTAATGTCAATGTCAATGCCAATGTCAATTTTATTTCTATAGCACAACTAAACACAACAACAGTTGACCAGTGTGCTTTACACCAATACAAGAGACTTTTATATATATATATATATATAAATTTATAGAATATAAATTTATATATATATATAATTAAGAAAATCATAAAAGCAAAAACACACAGTGCATAGATGCTAAGATGGTCATGTGCTGGTCCTAAGCTGGTCCTGAGCTGGAGCTAGTTGCTTAGGACCAGCTTAAACCAGCTCATGACCATCTTAAACCAGCAGCCATGCTTCAAAACATACCTAACCAGCATATGCTAGTTTTTTCAACAGGGACCTTAGCTGCCCATACTCTTCTTTACTTTTGGACGCCCTCTCTTTTTTTCACCTCTGCTGTACTTTGTTCCAAATGTCATTCGAAAACAAATTCATCATCATTATGCCACCTTTTTCTCATTAAAAACAATTAGGTTACCAACCATTTCACAAAAATGACACCATAGAGTGCCTTTGTTTCTTTTGGTGATGTGCGAGACTCTTGAGATGTGATTGTTGTCTCAGAGTGAGAATGAGCTGCTAGTTAACACAACTCTACTAAATGTCTGAAGTGAGCCGTCATTGATTCAGCTTTGACGTGTTGTTTTCTGGCGCAGCACAACTGGTTCCTCCATACAGGGAGTCACCAGAGCTGCAGTCTGAATGTCAGATATTTCGCCCTGCAGTTTCACAGTATTTCATGGTCATTTTAAAACAACACTGGGATCTAAGAATAGTATTCAATGCCCAACACTATCCTCAGCAGACTAAACAGTGAATTCAACACTTAATAAAACTGTTAACTGTCTGTGATGGATTTTTCCTAGAGGAAAGGTTACAGGAAGTATTATCTGTTGCAAAACTGTTCAATGTTTTATACATTTGCATTCTAACTAATCAAATGTTTGTCCATTCGAGCAGATGTGGACGTGTCATCTCCCGATGAGAAGTCTGTTATTACTTACGTATCAACGTTATACGATGTCTTCCCGAAAGTACCGGAGGGTATGGAGGGCATCAGTGCAAATGTAAGTACAATCACATATAGCTATAATATCACTAACTCTGTGAAAAAGTAGTACACTTTAGCATAGTTTTAAAAAGAGTATTGTTATGGAAAAAATACTTTAACGGAATATACTGAAGTGCAAACTGTATGTAATGTTTTCAGACTTAGTTTAAACTAATATTAAATGCAATTAGCTGAACTTCAGAATTATTTTTTTAACCATGCATCTGTACAACTTTATATGTACTTTCATAATTACTGCCAAATGACCTGACTAGCATGACAATGGTAAACAAAAAAATATTGATAAACTAAAATATACTATGCCATCTTTATTCTGAAATGTGTCATGTATTTAAAATCATTTGTCATTTGTAATGAAGTTACAATTTAGTGCATTTAAAATTTAATATTGAATAACACACTGTTATAATTATAATATTAAAATAATAATAAAAGTGCTTTACACGTGCTTTAGCATGTTAGTCAAAACATTAAGGTAAGAGTACTTTAACACAAAAATCAATGTACTTTAAAGTAAACCTCAATTTGACATTTTGAGGTCAAAAAACAAGTGCACTTTCTGAAATTGTACTTAAGACTTGAAATTGTGCTCTCTTTAAGTTCACTCAAGTGGCTTTTTACTAGATTAATATTATATTATCTGCAAGTACACAACAAATGCATATGTAATACAATTAAGCACACTTTTTCACAAGTGTTGCACTGAAAACAGTGCAAATACAAATCACTTAAAGGCATCTTCTGTGTTAAATGTGAGCTCTAGTAAAGCATGTCTAGTTATTTTCCACTGTCTGTGACTGAAACACAAAAATACTCTGATTTCAGCCATGACTCTTCTCTGAGGATACTCAGGCTGATACTACATAAACATCTCAAGGATGATATTAGCTACCTGCATGCTGTAGTCAGGTTTTAGCTGGGTGGGCTGGAGAATTTGCTTGGTCTATGCAAATAAACGTTGTGTCTACATTTTCACGTTACATAAGCATTCCGTGTTTCTTGGAAGAGTTATAGGCTTGTTATGCAGGAAATTAAATGATTTAGAAGCTCCTAAGGAATCTGTTGATTCTTTGGAATCATTCCCAGAACATTGGATAATTCTGCTTGAGGAAGAGTATGAAGCGTGCATACTGGTTTCCATTTAAGACCCATTGACACAACATGCTTGCAATTCTTGAATAAATGAATACGATATGAAGAAAGCCAAGAAGTGACACGTCCTATAAATTTATCCCATATTGTTGGAATCATGCCTGTGTTAAAATTTTTCTTAGAATATATAGATCTTAACTAAAAGTTGATGTTCCTGAAACAGGATGTGGACATTAAATGGGTTGAATACCAGAACATGGTGAAGTACCTCAGCCAGTGGATCAAACACAATGTGACTGTTATGTCAGACAGAAATTTCCCCAGCAATCCTGTGGAACTTAAGGTGAGATGCCTCACACTTTCATATTGCTGTTAAGAATGTAAGTAGATATTACTTGGTGGGTTTCCTGAATGGCTAGTTGATTTTTTTTCATGCAATTATGTAAATAATGTAAATAATTTTTTTAACATAAAATAGAAATCCATAAACCAGACCATATATTTATGCAAAACATAATGTTCTTTTTTTTATTATTTGGAAGTAAGAAATATGGCCCTGACAGTAGCTTGTACAATTAGTGCACATGCAGGGTTTGGAGAGACATGAGGGGTGTTTTGAGGTGAACTATTCCTGGACCAGTTTTACATTTTGATTTATGAAAGGGCAGATATATCTTAAGTAATGATTTGTCAAATATCAGACATTTACAGATGTGCTTTTTCAGCGATCAGCAGTTGCTGAGACTCTCTGATAATCGCTAACTTTAAGCAGTGCTTAGTCTATTGGAGCCTGAGGCAGATTAGCGGTACTGGCTCAGAGGATTTCCATGGCAAATATGTAGCGTCCCACTCGAGAAAACGATTAAAGCCTCTTTAAAGACCTGAAGAGCAGCTCCATCTTTCTCTATGAGCAGAAGCACAGCGTGCAGGTGTTCTGCGCTCATAACTCCAGTGGCTATGTTGTCTTTTTCTCTGTCTGATGGATAGAAATCTCTTTTTTTTTGTCAGAACTAACCCTTTTGAACTTTACAGGCACTTTATACGCAGTATCTACTGTTTAAAGAGAATGAAATACCACCGAAAGAAAATGAAAAGGCCAAAATCAAGCATCTCTACAAAATGCTAGAGGTTTGTATCTTTCGTTTCTTTTTTTGATCGTTCATATTTTTTGACCTGTACGTGACACGTGTAGGGGTGTCTTAAACTCGGCTGTATGTTGGGATGCAGGTGTGGATAGAGTTCGGTCGCATCCAGCTCCCTCAAGGGTACCATCCTAATGACGTGGAGAAGGAATGGGGCAAGCTGATCGTCGCCATGCTGGAGAGAGAGAAGAGCCTGAGGCCTGAAGTGGACAGGTATGAGATGATTTACACACGCTATATATCTCTCCATCGCTATTTCTTAATGAAAGAATATGGGTGAGGAATTCACTTGGCATTTTTGACATTTACATTCTTAATATTTTTTGTTATCATATCAAACTAGCAACAATACAACATTTTAAATTTTGAGGTTTTAGAACTAGAATGTTTTTAGAAAGGCACTATTTCTTCATTTACAACTCTTGTAATGTTAAACTGATTTCGAAGTGATTTTTTTAATATGCTCTTTTTGTATGGGTGATATATGGCAGGGGTGCAGAACTCAATTCCTGAAGGGTCGCAGCCCTGCAGAGTTTAGTTCCAAGTTGTGCACCCCTGATATATGGGATATTTATAATATTTTTGCTATTATTAATTAGGTTTTGAATTATTAATGATGTTTTTATTTAGATGTTAAGTTTCCTCGAGTCTTTAGAAAGTCCTTATATTAGTTTTACAATCATTTCTTGTCTTGTCACTTGTGGCATTAAGAAATAGAAGAGCATGAGAGCATTATGGTGTTTTTAAAATTCAGTTGCAAAAACGTAAAGAAGAAGTTCAAACCGTCTATGGCAGTGATTTGATTAAAAGTGTTTTTCACTTAAAAATGTCTGCTAAAGTACTTCTGCATATCTCAGCCAAATGTACAGTGACACATTATATAAGGAATATAAGGATATAAGGAATCAAAGTTGCCATGTTAGCATGTTCCAGTTAGCTCCTGCTGCTAGATATTTTGTTTCTCCTTTGACAGCAGTTGCAAAATTTGCTGTATATTCTGATAAAATAAAATGGTGTTTTCTCAAGCAATATTTATAATGCCAATATTTATAGTATTTTTTAGTTTAGTAGGTGTTTTATCAGTGCAGAGTTCTTAAAAGAGGTTCTTATTTATGGAGGGTTCTTGAAAGAGTGAAATTAGCTTAAAAAAAAAATCTGGTCAGCCCTGCGCCAGCCAAGCAACTGCCATTGAGATGAACATGAATGCTATTGATGGCTTACTCTGTGGAGCAGCTTGTTATATGCCGCTCTCCTGAAAAGTGTAAACACTGCGCTGCTGTCAAAACACTGCTTTGTTTGTTTGAGCATCCCGACCAATTCAATATAGCAACCGATGGGGCTCAACAAATGGTGCGAGTTTGGTGGCGGGATATCTGCTCAATATATATCTGATATCTGATCAGTTGGAGATGAGGAAGTCTTCTGTAAATCTAAAAACAGTCATTGGACTCAACTATTGTGTCAATCATTTATAAATCCATTCTTATGTAAATTGTCAAATAATGCATTGAAATTATTTTGTATGTACAATTTGCACTGAAATTAGTTCTGTTTATGTTTCATGATTTGGGGCCTTTATGTTCACGAGTTCTGTTTGATGACGCTTGTTCACACATTTCTCTTTCAGTGTCTTAGTAACAATGTATGTAGGCAATTATTTAGGGTTAAAATCAGCCTTCTATGCATTTCAAATATATTAGATTGATATGTAATATTTTTGTTATATTGCCAGCAGAGATTAGTTTTGTTTCCTGCGCAGAAATGACTGTCACACCTGTGCAGTTCGCAGTTGTGTTACTCATAATGTTTAGGTGAAAACATGGCGTTGGAAATTACCTGGAAATATATGGAAATCACTCATGCTTTTGATATTTATTAACAGTTTTATGTACACATGATTATATGTGACCCTGGACCACAAAACCAGTCATAAGGGTACATTTTTTGAAATTGAGATTTATACATCATCTGAAAGCTGAATAAATAAGCTTTCCATTGATGTATGGTTCGTTAGGACAATATTTGCGCGAGATACAGCTATTTGAAAATCTGGAATCTGAGGGTGCAAAAAAATCTAAATATTGAGAAAATCACCTTTAAAGCGGTCCAGATGAAGTACTTAGCAATGCATATTACTAATCAAAAATTAAGTTTTGATATATTTATGGTAGGACATTTACAAAATATCTTCATGGAACATGATCTATACTTAATATCTTAATGATTTTTGGCATAAAAGAAAAATCAATAATTTTGACCCATGCAGTGTATTTTTTGGCTATTGCTACAAATATACCCCAGCGACTTAAGACTGCTTTTGTGCTCCAGGGTCACAAATACTAACAGCACTGCCGTCAATGCTGTGAAACGGTGAAATTGAGAAATGGCTGTTAGGCAGGGAGAGGAATGTGTTGTGTGGTGCGACACACCCCCATCTCTCTCAGCCTAACTGTCTAAACCTGTGCTGGATCATCTGTCTCACATGAAAAGCAACGCTCAGTGTTTTACCTGGGGCTGATGCTGCTGTGGGCTGGCTTTTCTGCGAGCCTATAAATAGCAGCGGCTGGAAGCAGGTGCGGTCAGAAGGGCTGTGTGCGCGGGTCCGGGACTCTAGATGGACGCTGGGCTCTCTGCTGCTGATGGAGGGGTGGTAAACGCTAGTCTGTTATGATGAACAGCAACCTGGTGTACTGCAGTAGCACCTCATCAGTGAGTGACAGCACTCTGACCAGCCTGGGCTTGGCTGAAAACCTGCTCTCCGGAGCACTCGAGCCTCTGTCCAGCACACCGCTTTATCTCAATAGCTGCTCTGTGTATGGACCCAGGTGAGGGAGCCACACATGCTTCAGGGAGGTTGTGGTTTCCTCTGCAAAATTCTGCACCAAACGTGTCCTGATGCTTGATTGGACCTGTCTTTTGTTTTTCGTAGACTTGAAATGCTGCAGCAGATTGCAAACAGAGTTCAGCGAGACTGTGTAGCCGGAGAGGACAAATTAGTGTTAGCACGGACAGCTCTGCAGTCGGTGAGTTCCTTACCAATATTTTGTCTTAATATCCAGTAATGATCAGATTTCATTTTAATTATCAGAAATGTTATTTATTTGATAAGCAAAACGTCATACCATGTAAAGACCTTTTCAGAAAATGTGCATATATATATATATATATATATATATACAGTATATAACAACACACATACTTGCATTTGTGGTTTACGGGGACTCTCCATAGGCGTAATGGTTTTTATACTGTACAAACTATTTTCTATCGCCCTACACCTAAACCTACCCCTTACAGAAGACTACTGGCAATTTTTGAATTTCATAAAACACCGTTTTGCATGTTTTTTTAAGCTTTTTGTTTTACGCAGACACAGGAAGTGTCCTCATAAACCATGTTTACGTTGTAGTACACATGTCATTATACACATTTGTGTCCTCATAAACCATATATACCTGTACACACACACACGCACATTTGCTTTAACAAACAAAATTGAGTGAGGTTTACACACAGGCCAGTTGCTGGCCAGTTGATTAAAGTAATTTAAATCTAATTTTGTTAAATAATTATTACTTAAGGATGTATACATACATACATAGATACATAAACACACATACATACAGTATATACAGTATATATAAATGGATGTTTAGATATTTTACTGGAAAAACGATACAGTATACTTAAGAAATTCTTTAAAAATATATATTATTCTAAAAAAAGTTTTAAAGTTTTGAAGTGGCAAATGTCTTTTTTTTTACACTTAAAATATTAATGAGGATGAATATATCCTCTAGGATGCGAAACGGTTGGAATCAGGAATTCAGTTTCAGAATGAAGCAGAGATCGCTGGTTACCTTCTGGAGTGTGAGAATTTACTGAGGCAGCAAGTGCTGGATATTCAGCTTTTACTGGATGGGAAATTCTACTTGGCTGATCAGCTCGTTCAGAGGTCAGACAGTCTTTGACTGAGCTTCATTATTAAAGAGAAAAAATCACTGAGGCATTCTCAAAATGAGCAATAGAAATAGTTCACCTTCACTGTTTCTGAACGCTAAAGTCTCCTTGATCTCTTTGGTCCTCAGGGTCTCTAAGCTCCGTGACGATCTGCTGGCTTTGAGAACAGAGTGTTCAACCGTCTACAGCAAAGCACGCACGCTGACCTCAGAACAGACCAAGATGATGATCTCTGGCATCACGCAGAGTTTGAACTCAAACTTTTCCCCAAACTTCAGTGCCGGACTGTCTCCTGCGCTCACTCACGGAGGCCTGGTCACATCAGGTGGCAGCCCTGCGATGAGCCCAGCCATGACGCCCAGCATGCAGCCTGCCTCGGTCCAGACTTACCTCAGCGGCAGAGGAGGAGGAGGAGGAGGAGGCATGGAGCCCGGGGTTCTTCAGCAGCTCAAACACATGCAGATCCGCAAGCCCATGCTCAAATCCTCATTCCTGGATCCCAGCTTGACCGAGGATGAGGTTAATGTGAAGTTTGTGCAGGATCTGCTCAACTGGGTTGAGGAAATGCAGGTATGTTTAAGACTTCAGATTCTTTTAATCCTTCATTCTGCTAGTGCACTTCTTAATTAGTATATTTGTTCATTTGTCGTCTGTATTTATGTTTTACATTTTGAACAAACAATCTCATTTGATTTTTATTATTAAAAATGCCAAGTGCGATGGTTTGAACGATGATGCAGGTTTATGCTTAAAATAAAAAAAAAGTGACCTATTTTTCAGTTTTGGTTATCTGATGCTTTTTTTCCTGAACTTTTTGTCTCTGTAAGGTTCAGCTTGATCAAGCAGAATGGGGATCTGATCTGCCAAGTGTTGAATCAAATTTAGGGAATCATAAAGATTTTCACAAAGCCATTGAAGAATTCCAGATGAGCATTAAAGAAGCCAAAATGAGTGAGGTAATACACATCATTACATATTTTTAAATAAATAAAAAATATCACTATAAACCCAGAATATGTTTAGCGTGCTAAATACAGTTAACTTTATTTTAACAGCTAAATTTAAGTTGTTATTTGCTGAAAATCTATGAGCAATCAAAACTCAAAATTGGGTTTGGGTAATCTGTTCCTTTAAATGACATGTATTCCAACAAATACTTGTCTTAAAAATATAAGCACAAACGTGTCTGACTGACCCGTGTCCCTCCCACAGATTCAGATGACCCAGCCACTGAAGCAGAGTTACTCTGAGAAGCTGAATAAGTTAGAAAGCCAGTACGGGAGGCTGCTGGTAAAGGAGCTTATTAAAGATCTGCTTTTAAACCTCACATTCAGTGAGAACTGTGCGTGAACTCAGTTTGGTGTTCTCTGGTGTTTTCAGAGATGCTCCAGTGAGAGGCAGAAACACCTGGACAGCCTGTATGATTTTGTGTCCCGCGCCACTCAGGAGCTGATCTGGCTCAATGAGAAGGAGGAAGAGGAAGTGGCTTTCGACTGGAGTGAGCGAAACAGTAACATTTCAAGGAAGAGGGATTATCATGCAGTAAGTCCTTTCAACCACATCAAACCAATGTTGTGCTCAGTCTAAAAGAGCTAGTGATTTATTAATGTTTGTCTTATATTGTTTTTTTTTCTTATTTGGAACATTGCAGATAACCCAGTGATTTTAATATGTGGTGATTATTTATTTAAGGCATTATTTTAAACATTTGTATTATTTCTTATGCATCTATTGTTATGTTTATTTGAATTTTGAAAGCACTTTGAATTACCTTTGTGTATTTATTCAATTAACTTGCCTTGCCTTGCCATTATGTACATGGCCAAAACTGTGAGAAATATCTAGTTGGCCATTAGATGGATTAGCTGTGATAAATAAAAAGCGTTTTGCTTTAAGGCTTCATTCTAGCAATATGAATATCCACCCAATACGGTAATTATAGTGAATCCACAAGAGCCACTAGAAATGAACTTAAACTGTGCCTGCGGTTAACACATCCTCTTCTGTTGGAGCAGTAATGGCACCGTCAACATCCGTCATGATCAAGATTTTGTGTTCATCGCATTGCCTTCACTTGCCTTTGCATGTTGAGGTTCAGGTTTTTGAAAGAAAGCTAGATATCTGTGCCTGGAGCGTCTTCATATGCCCATGTCTTTCCACAGGATCTCATGAGAGAACTGGATGACAAGGAGGAGGTGATCAAGACAGTACAGGAGAAGGCAGAGAGCCTCCTACTGGAGAACCATCCTGCCAGATTGACCATCGAGGTACAGCCTGGAATAACAGCACTACACTAGACTCTAAACTTGAAAACACCATCATTTTCATGAATAAAACAAAAGGTCATGAAACTAGAATTTAAGAAATAGTGCAGACAAACATTCTATCATAATTTTTATACATTCACGTTGGTCCAAACCTGTACGTTTTTTTTTTTTTAAGTAAAACACAAATGGAGAAGTTTAGCAGAATGTTCAAGCTGTTCATTTCCTCATTTCCACACAATGAAAATGTATCATAAATGTATTAGGAAAGTAGGTAGGGTTGGGCAAACATCTTTTTTTTTACTAATAATCTTCCCTAATTCTCATCCATTTAAGCTTGTCATCATCATATTAAAATACACAGCAAGTCAAGTCACCTTTATTTATATAGCACTTTTAACAATACAAATTGTGTCAAAGCAACTGTACAGCATTAATTCGGAAAACAGTTAAAGGCAGTTCATCATTGAATTCAGTGATGTCATCATCCAGCTCAGTTCAGTTTAATTAGTATCTGTGCAATCAAGTCAACGATATCGCTGGAGATTAAGTGTCCCCAACTAAGCAAGCCAGAGGCGACAGCGGCAAGGAACCAAAACTCCATCGGTGACAGAATGTAGAAAAAACCTTGGGAGAAACCAGGCTCAGTAGGGGGGCCAGTTCTCCTCTGGCCAGACGAAACCAGCAGTTCAATTCCAAGCTGCAGCAAAGTCAGATTGTGCAGAGGACTCAACTGGTTCCTGTGGTCACCAACTTCTAATTTTTTGTTCCATGGAAGAAAGGAAGATAAAATAGTAAAATAAAATAAAATAAAATTAGCTGTTTAATCTAACTGTATGTTTCCATCTGTGCACTACGCAGGCATACAGAGCAGCCATGCAGACTCAGTGGAGCTGGATACTGCAGCTCTGTCACTGTGTGGAGCAACATCTGAAAGAGAACGCTGTCTACTTTGACGTGAGTTACGCAGCTGTTTTTAGCAGAACTGATTTTTATGACTCATGTCAGACTTACAGGTATGCTGTTACTCTGCTTACAGTTTTTCAGCGACGCCAAAGAGTCATTGGATTACCTTAGGAGCCTCCAAGATGCCATCCACAGAAAGTACAGCTGCGACCGAAACAGCAGTTTACATCGGCTGGAGGATCTCATTCAAGAGTCCATGGTTAGTTTGCTACTAGGGGTGTGACGAGACACTTATCCCACGAGACGAGACGAGACTGGGTTCACGAGAACGAGACGAGACGAGACGAGACGAGATTTTTAGACTTTTTTTAAGAAATCCTCAATGATGAAATATATAGGGAAAAATAGTCTTTTATTCAACTGAAAAACATGAAATGCAAAAAAGTAGGTGCATTTTGAAATCAACTTGTACTTTATGAAATTAAACATCTATTTTAATACATTTTATGCAGTAATAAACAACATGTAAACACTGCAAAATGTTTTGCCACAAACTCAACTGAAAGGCAAGTAAATTGCACAAAAATTATAAATAGTATAAATAAAAATAAATAATAAACAACATAAATATCCCTTTAAAGTGGAAGTGAAGCAGTCTTCCACTTTAATAAAAAAATATATATAATAAACACGATTAATGTATCAATTTAAAAGAATAAAACAGTGGTTGCCAAACTGGGGGGCGCGGCAAGGCTGAGGGATAGTTAGGGCCCTATTTCTGTTTTATTTTTTTCCATTTTAATTTTTCTCGACTCCTTTTTAATAGTTAAATAAAATGTTATTAATTAAAAAACATGTCTAATTAATTAAAATCATTAAACTTATACATTTCCACATCAATTTATTAAAAGTTTAACAAAAATTACATGTTTAGCGCCCTATGAAATGTTTTATTTTGTCTAATTATTTGAATGCATAAAACATTTTTTAATGTATAATTTTTTTTTCTTAAAGTAGCCTTATGATTTTTTTTCCCTCAGAAATTCTGTGTTGTGTATTTACATTTTTCTGGTTATCAAATTAAGGCATAAAATATTAATTTAATTTATCATTTGTTTTAATTATTGAAAATTAAGCAAACAAGATTTTTTTGGCAAACAAAGGGGATTTACTATTAAAATTAAAACATGGAAGAAATGTTTTGTGATTATTCCTTAAAAAATTATGTTTGTTTCATTTTAGTAGTACTATGTACATTCTACTGAAAAATAGTTATAGGCACAATGTCTTCAAATCAAACTGGACTTTTATTTTGTCGGGTTGCCATGAATACCTTTACAGTTCTGTGTATGAGATATGACGCTGGTTTTACTCAAATCAAACGCTAAAATGCTCATGAAGTGACTCTCAGAGCAGTTCTGGAGATGTTGTTCATGTGTTTACGTCCTCATTTAGTGAGACGGCAGACACTGAAATCACCGTGAGTGTCACGCGCGATTCAGTGTGTGTGTAGTAAATGAAACCACGCATCTGCGCCATTCATTAACAGAGACAGGCAGAACATGCAAGATTCATATTTAAATCGACTTTTGCGGCTTAATATGTACAGATACTAGTCCATATCGTGATTTGATTTAAGTGTAATGACCTACTTTTGATTAATACGCGAGATCTCGTGCCACGAGATCTCGTCACACCCCTATTTGCTACCACACCATAAATTCATGCAATTATTCGGGTTTGGAGCGTTATGGACTTAAAGGGTTAGTTCACTCAAAAATGAAAGTTCTGTCATTAATTACTCACCCTCAAGTTGTTCCAAACCCGTAAGACCTTCGTTAATCTTCGGAACACAAATTAAGATATTTTTTATGGAATTCGAGAGCTCTCTGACCCTCCCATAGACAGCAAGGATATTACCACGATCAATGTCCAGAAACGTAGCAAGGACATCAGTAAAATAGTCCATGTGACATCAGGGGTTTGACTGTAATTTTACGAAGCTACGAGAATAGAAATAGAATAGCTTTGCTTTTTGTGTGCAAAGAAAAAAAAACATAATTTATTCAGCAATTCTTCTCCCAGAGTTTTGGAGAGTACCCCAGCATGCACGCGCTTTCCACTGAATGTAAACAGCGCTGATTACGTTCAGGGGTACTCTCCAAAATGGCAGAAGACTGTAACTTAATTTGTGTTCCGAAGATGAACGAAGGTCTTATGGGTTTGGAACGACATGAGGCTGAGTAATTAATGACAGAATTTTCATTTTTTGGTGAACTATCCCTTTAAAGACTAAAAGAATGAAGCAATCAAAATACGAACAAGTTCTATTTCTTAAGATTCTCATTCATGAATGTTTTAAGGTGTAGCTGTATATGCATGACTGAGGCTGGACTGGTGTTTCTTCACAGGATGAGAAAGAACAGCTCCTGAAATACAGCAGCACAGTGGGTGGGTTAGTGGGACGGGCAAAGTCCGTTGTTCAGCTCAAGGCCCGCAACCCAGAGAACCCCATCAGGACCTCCTTACCCGTCAAATCCATCTGTGACTACCGCCAGATAGAGGTCCGTTCAGCTCGCTGGAACAGCTGCCTGCGTATTTACAGCAGTGTTTGCCATAATGCATTCTGTGACCCCTCTCTCCTCAGATCACCATTAGCAAAGAAGATGAGTGCGTTCTAGTGAGCAATTCTCACAGGGCAAAGTGGAAAGTGATCAGTCCATCTGGAAATGAGGCCATGGTACCTTCAGTCTGCTTTAGTGTACCTCCACCCAACAAGGAGGCCACTGAAATGGCAAGCAGGTGAAGACAAAAAAAATAGGGCTAGGGTTTGCTTCTATGCATTGGTTGTTGGTTGGATGTTGAGATGTCTTGCAAAAATGGAGGCAGATGAAGAGCAAGATGAGCCTGCAGGGTTTAAATTGTATAGTAGCATGCTTGATTTTCCTTCTCTCACTCCACCAGGATCGAGCAGCTGTATCAGAATGCTCTGGCTCTGTGGCACCACTCTCACATTAACATGAAGAGCGTCGTGTCCTGGCACTATCTGATGACTGACATCCGCACCATCCGCAAAAGCACTGTTGCCTCGGTACAAATCTTGTTTTTGCATTCCCTGAGACGAAAGTTGTTTTAAAACCTAGCGAGTTCATACAGTAGTATAATGTTAATTTCCCTCCCTAGATCAAGACGCTATTGCCAGGTGATCACGAGCAGGTGCTGAGCAGCCTGCAGTCCCACTTTGAGGACTTCCTGAGGGACAGCGATGAATCTGAGGTTTTCACGGTGGCTGATTGTGCCCAGCTGGAAAAGGAGGTTCTGACTTGTAAGGAGTACTACGAGGAACTCCTCAAATCTGCAGAGAGAGGCAAGTTACTGTACACATGTACGCAAGTAACGCAAGTTATGTAATCAGATTACTTTTTTGAGTAACTAGTAAAGTAGGGCATTATATCTTTTTAAGTCTACTTTTTCAAATAAGTAACACAAGTTACCTTGTTTTCCCATTTATTCACTTACGCCTCTCCTGTCTCCTGTTGAGAGAAATCGGGAGTGAAGTGCAGAGGCACTTTCTCTTTTGGTGTGAATGGGCCTTTACAGTTGCCAAAAATACTTTTGTGTGTTTTGTTATTGAAAAACAAATGCCAGCCCAGCCCAGGTAACAAAAAGTAATGCAAAAAATTATCATAATGCATTACAGTCTATAAAAAGTAACTAAGTAATGCAATTAGTTACATTTTCTTGGATCAACACAATATTGTAATGCATTACTTAGTAAACAGACATACAGCACACATGCTCAAGAAACACGTGTTCTCCTAAGCCTATTAAGTAGAAAGTTAATACTATAAGGATTGACGTTTTATCCATTCACAGATCTCCTCATCAACATTAGAGAAATTAGAGAGCAAGTGTTTGTGGATATGCATTTAAATTTCATCTAGAAGTTTGACAATTGATCATTTGTAATGCACCTAATTCTATTTTTTAATTACTATGTACACTTTAAATATTTTGTTTTTGTTCCTCAAACAAATGTTGGTCTCGTTGTGAGATTTCATGAGTTCACTATCTGCTGCCTGTAATCTAATAATAGAGTCCTGAAATATTGTCTGCCAGATTAATTGTCAAAAACCCTCATTACAATTATATGCACATTATGGCTTATTTGTGTTGCCACTAGCTACATTTTCATTATGTTGTCACCAAGAAACTGCAAACAAATGCACAGACTGCAGATTATTGTTTGGACATGGAGTCTCATTGATGTACTCATCTTGAATGCATTGCCCTCTGGTGGTCAACAGAAGAACATGAGGAGTCCGTGTACAATCTCTTCATATCTGAGGTGCGTAACTTCCGCATGCGGGTGGAGGGTCACGAGGAACAGCTGATCCGGAAAATCCGTACTCCGCTAGACAGAGATGACCTGCAGGAGTGTGTGCTGCGCATCACCGAACAGGAGGTTTGATCTTCGGCTTCATTTATGTTCCCCCCCCCAAAAAAAATCAGTGCACTTGGACTGAAAAAATCAGTCCAAGTGCACACATCCAGTAGGCAAAAAGCTCAATGTGGGTGCTCCACCACACAAAAATTTGAACCCAAAAAATCAAAGTAGGCACACCCCAGCTCAAGAGATGTGTTCTCATGAGCTCATGTTCTCACCACAGGTGACGTTTCGAGCTCTTTATCAGACTGATGAACATAAATAAATATTTTTAAAATAAAATAAAATATATAATATAATATAATATACAGGTGCATCTCAATAAATTAGAATGTCGTGGAAAAGTTCATTTATTTCAATAATTCAACTCAAATTGTGAAACTTGTGTATTAAATAAATTAAATGCACACAGACTGAAGTAGTTTAAGTCTTTGGTTCTTTTAATTGTGATGATTTTGGCTCACATTTAACAAACACCATATTCTAATTTGGTTTTTGTTAAATGTGAGCCCAAATCATCACAATTAAAAGAACCAAAGACTTAAACTACTTCAGTCTGTGTGCACTGAATTTATTTAATACATGAGTTTCACAATTTGAGTTGAATTACTGAAATAAATGAACTTTTCCACGGCAATTTATTCTAATTTATTGAGATGCACCTGTAATATAATAATACAGTTTAGTACAAAAAACAATTTTTGGTACCAAGTTGGATCACCACTTCATTTTTAATGTAAAATCTGGATCCCGAAGCAAAATGAGTTACGCCTGGCCTCTCTTCTCATACTCGTCCAGAAGAAGAAGGTAGAGCTGGATAGGTTGAAGGATGACCTGGAGACCCTGAGAGAGAAGTGTGAAGTTTTCCTCAGGCAAGCAGCTTCCTCTCCATCCGTCCCTACGCTTTCCTCTGAGCTCAACATCCTCACTCAGAGCACGAACCAGGTCTACTCCATGTGCTGCATCTACCTGGAGAAGTGAGTCTTTACTTTGTCCTCAAATGAGGTGTGTTTGAAAGTGTTAAGAAGAGTTTATTGAATAATTAGCTGGAGATGTGACCTAGTGTTTAGTAAGTGTGCTGAGGCGCTCGTGCAAGTATTGTGAGTTTGAATCAGACTTGTGGCACTTCCTAGTCATTCCAACATTATCCAAACTTCAGATTGCTATAACCAGGCTAATGTAAATTTATCTTTAAATTTAAACTTTGTCTTAATTTCTTGTTATGGTCAGCACTAAAATATTTCATCAGCTAGAAATCGCTGCTATATGGTTTCTTGTTTGATGTGATCATCTTTTTCACACAGGCTAAAGACAGTGAGTTTGGTGGTGAAACACAGTCAGAGTGCCGAAGCTCTAGTAAAGCTTTATGAAGCTAAGTTGTGCGAAGAGGATACAATCAATGCTAATATCAAATCTATCGATGGTGTCATGAGCACTCTTAAGGTAACAAAATCTCATTGTAACTAACTCGATGATGGCTTAGCCATTAAATATCTTTGACTTAACACTTTTGTTCGTAATTTTTTAGCAATGGCGGTCTGAAATCGATGAAAGGCGTGAGGTATTCCATGACTTGGAGGACGAGCTGCAGAAGGCACGAGTGGTCAGTGAGCGAATGTTCAAAACGCACAACGAGAGAGACTTTGATTTGGATTGGCACAAGGAGAAGGCCGACCAGCTCAAAGAACGATGGCAAAACATCCACTCTCAGATTGAAAACAGGTCATTAAGTGGATGCTTTTGCCCCTAGATGATGCTGTGCTGCAACGCTAAGTACATTTCTCATTTATTTACCTTCATAATGTGTGATATATTGATTTTTCATGGTGTTTAGGCTCCGGGACCTGGAAGGCATCAGCAAATCACTTAAGTACTACAAAGACACGTACAACAGCCTGGATGAATGGAGCAAAGAAATGGAAACCAAGCAGCTCAAGGCCCAAGAGAATCAACCTGAGGACAGCAAGGCATTGGCTGAGTTCCTTAACCAGCAGAAAGTACGAAAAAAGTTAAATTGTACTTATTTATAAGTACAGAAGTTATTTGCATCAAATCCTAACATTGGATTTATTTCTAGGTTTTGGTCGCAGAAATTGAGCAAAAACAAAGCAAAATTGAGGAATGCCAGAAGTATTCAGAGCAGTATGCAGTTGGAGTGAAAGTAAGACAAAATTATCACTTTGAAATATTCTGACATATAGGGTACCGTGGTAGACTGTGGTATGTGAACATTGCAATCATGCAGTAACATAATTTTCCATAGTACCATTAAGTACTTTTGTGGAAGTGTGGCCCATTAGTGATACTTCATCCCCAAAGCAAACAATAAAATAGACACTAAAATAGTAAAATGGCAATTAAGTATATGGTAAAAGAAAGTTATTTAACTTCATAATGTTTGTTTGTCTTTAAGGACTATGAACTGCAACTGATGACTTATAGAGCCATGGTTGACTCTCAGCATAAGTCTCCAGTGAAGAGAAGGAAGATGCAGAGTTCCTCTGATGTCATCCAGCAAGAGGTACGAGAGGAAGCAGTCAAGGAAATAGAACCATTCTCATATGGTTCATATTTTCATAAACTGGCTATTTTCTTACATTGGCATTCTTTTAAGTACGTATGAGTATTTTTTTTGTTTGTTTGGCTCCTCAGTTTATGGACCTTCGTACACGTTACACGGCCCTGGTTACTCTGATGACACAGTATGTGAAGTTCGCAGGTGAAACACTAAAGAGGGCGGAAGAGGATGAGGTAGGACATTTGTTGACTTTTTCCCGTCTTTAATGCTTCATCCAGTAGAGAGGATTAGCGTTAGTATAGTGCTATTGCTAGCTTTATTGCATGCTATTTGGCAAGACTATGCTTCCAGCCATATTTCATTCACCAATGACACATTAGGACAATGGCATACACCCTAACAACGTACACAAACATATTTTGGTGTTTCCTGCAATACAAAATGTTCCTCAGTGCTTGGACATTTATTTTGATACAAAATAGGCTGTATTTTGTATCATTGCTGGTGACCTTGTCTCTTGGGAAAGCATGTCCTGGAAACATGCTGAAGACTACATGCAAATATGGTGGTGGTTTTTAAACCTTCCGTTGGTAAGTGGGCAAAGACCGCCTCTTCTCTTCCAGGTGGTTGACTGGAAGATGACTGTGTCTTTCATTTCAGAGGAGGAAGTCGTTGGAAAATGCGGAGTACTTGAGCTGGACTGAGAGCATGGAGCTGCAGAAATCTGCGAGCGAAGAGGAGATCAGCAGTCTTCGGCGCCAGGTACTGGAACTCGAGGCTTCGCTGTCCAACAGGCAACAGCAGCTGGACATCCTGGGGGCAGACCTTGAGATGCAGAAAAAGTCCATTGAGGATTTGACCTTACAGAAGTCAAAGGCTGAGTATGAGGCCCAGAAATATCGTGTTGAACTAGAAGGTGTGATTAAAAGCAAGGGTTCCATGGAGCAAGAGTTGAATCGTGCTCGACAACAGGTTCAGCAGTCAGAGGCCAAACAGGCCTCCCTGGAAGAGAGCCTCCGCAATTTTAAAAAGAGCATAGAGGAGAGTACATTAGCCCGTAAGAAGCTGGAAGACCATTTACGTCGCAAGGACAGTGACGTCCAGGGCCTGGAGGAGCACAGTCGCACGTTAGAGCGAGAACTTAGGGCTAAGGAAGACGCCGAGGCAGAGCTTCTAAGCCAAGTGAGAATCATGGAAATGGATCTGGCCCACCAGTCAGAAGTCAGGATGATGCAAGGTGAATCCATGTTGGGTTTCTCCAAAGATGGTGGACAACTGGCAACTTTTAAAACCAGTTCTTCAATAATCCACTCTGAATCTGAGGCAGAAGTCCTGCAACGCAAAATGGAGGAGCTCATTATGGGCAAGAAGCGAGCTGAGACTGAAATCAAGTCCTTGAAGTCTGAATTGAACTCAATTATTGTGCACAAAACTGTGGCTGAGGAGAAAGCTCAGCGTTTCAAAGAACTCTTAGATGAAGCAAACAACAGGCTTTTGAAGCTACAAGTGGAAATGGATGCAGATAGGTCCAGCATGAGACAGAAATCAGAGGAGTTGAGACAAGACACCTCTGAACTAAAAAAGTCTGTCTATGTGTATCAAGAACAAATCAAGTCTCTCCAAAGAGACAAATCTGCTCTGGAGCAAAGAGTGCTGTTCCAGAAGACAGAGGTCGATGGCCTAAAAGACCAGCTCAAAGTCAACCAAGGAAAACTTCTACAGTGGACCTCTTTGGAACAGGAGAGCACTCATAAGTTGAGGTGCTTGGAAGACGAGTTGTCTTCCAAACAATCTGAGGTAGAGCAGATGACATTCAGGGTGAATGAACTTAATAGAAAAAATCAGTTATTGGAAAGTGATACCCGGCATCTTAAGGTAAGTATTGAGTCAATCCAGCAGGACAAATCACATGCTGACCAAAAGATTAAAACCCTGAAAGGTGAGGCAGAGGTTTTGAAGGAGCAACTGCAGAGAGCCAAAGAAGAAATCAATCTGAAGACAAGAACAGAGAAGGAAGCTCAACTCAAAATCAAAAACCTTGAACTAGAGCTTCAGAAATGTTCCTTGCAAGTGACACAGCTTACCAGGAAAGTAGAAGAACTCAAGAAGATTAACATGGAGACTGAACGGTCCATTAAAAATGTCAAAGCAGAGCTTGACAGAGCATCCATCGAGATTGACAGTAAGGAACAGCAAATTAATATACTCAGATCCCAGGCAGAAAGTGCAAAATCTCAGGTAAAAATTGTTGAAGAGGAACTTCTGAATAAAACACAGGTATCTCATGAGCTTCAAATCAGACTTAAAGATTACAACGAAGAAGCCAAAAAGACCACCGAGCTGCAGCAGAAGATCAAGTCTCTCACGTTGACCGTCATCAACTATGAAAAAGATATTTCGATTCTCAAAGCAGAGCTGAGTTCTAGAACCTCTGAGAGGAATCTGGCTAATCAGAAGGTTCAGGAACATAAAGTCGAGATAAATAACCTGAACATGGCTTTAAAAAAAGCCATAGGAGAATCTCAAAGGGAGTCATCTGAAGGTAAAAAGAGCTTGTCAAAAGTTCGAGAACTTGAAAATGAGCTTTTGAAATGTAAGCAGACGATTAGTAGGATCAGTGGAAGTTCAGAGAAGGCCACGGTAAGCCTGAAAGAGGACATTTCATCTCTTCAGAGGGATAAGCAAACAGCTGACCAGAAGTTACAGGTTTTAAAATGTGAATTTGATGATCTTAGTTCCACTCTAAAAAGAACAAAAGATGAGCTACAGCGAGTGACTGAAGAAAACAGGTTAAGTCAGTCCAAACTCAAAGAGCTGGAGGCAGAACTCCAAAGGAAAAGTTCTGTTATGCGAGAATTGAGCTCAAGCGCAGATAAATCTGTGCTGAATTTAAAACAAGAGCTAGTCACTTTTCAGAAGGATAGGAATGCTGCAGAAGACAGAATCACAAGTTTAACTCTGCAAACACAAGAGCTGAAGCAGAAGTTGAGACAGACCCAGGAAGAGCTTAAACAGAAGCAAAATCAAACAGCAGCTGCTGAGCTGAGGTCGCAAAAGCTTGGTGAACAGTTGGATACCTGTAAAAAGATGCTTGACGATCTCAAAGGTAAGCTCGACTTGCAAAAGAAAGGCTACGAGACTCAACTGCAGCTAGTGCAGGCTGAAATGGAGCAAAAGCTTTCACGCTTAAAGTTGGAGCATGAGAGGAAATTAAAGGAAACTGCTGAGAGAGACAACAAGCACCTGTCTCAAGAAGTGGAGAAGCTGAAAACATTAATTGCTAATGCAACAAAAGCAAAACAAGAGGTTGAAGAGCAACTGTGCAACGTACGCACACAGTTGGATGAATCTGACAGGCAGAGGGGGATACTTGACCTTGAACTTCTCAAAGCAAAATCAAAGATTTCTGAGTTAGAAACTGAGAAAATCAGAGTAAAATCCAATATTTTTAAACTTGACAGTATTCACAAAGACAGCTCCAACGAGATATCAAAGTTAAAGCAAATGTTGACAGAGACTGAGCAAAAATTTGACATCTCAGAAAAGGAAGCAAGATCTCTAAAGGAACAGATTGTTTCATACATCAGTGAAATGAAGTCTCTACAGGAGAGGAATCTGAAGCTTGAGGTAGCAGTCAGTTCTGAGAAGAAACATCTAAAAGAATTGGAGGCACTCGGACAAGCCAGTCATCAGTGTGCTAAAGATGAAGAGCTGGCAAAGCTAAAGACTGAACTTCAGCTGACTCAGAAAATCGTTGCGTCGTACGAAGAAGCGAAACGGAACCTGGAGGAGGAGCTCAAGAAAATGAAAATGAGCTCTGAGGTACGACTTCAAGTGCATTCACAGTTTTGTAAAACTTTCATTAAAGGTGAAGTGTGTCGTTTCTTGATGTGTTTTAACAATGTGCAGAGAGAGCTATAAGTAAGGGTGCTCTCACACTTCCATTGCTTGATCCGAACCAGAGTTCAGTACTCCCCCTGTATTCTATTCGCACCTGTATTTTGTGGGTCAGAATCATATGGGTCTGGTAATCATGGTCATCAAAGCGGCAACTCTTTTTTGTTGTTCGGTAACGGCAACGCTGGACAAAGCAGAAAAGTAGGTAGGGTTGCTTGCCTCACTTTTGTACGTTGGTCTATCTAGCATTAATGGTCTGCAAAAGTTCTAGAGATGTCCGTTTCTGCTGGAGGCGAGCAATTTGACCAATCATACTGTAGCTCATCAATAGCAGTTCATTTCTGAGACTGAGGACAACTGCGTTCATATCAGCAGCAAACTGCACTGGATTCCGCACGAACCATACCACAGTCCAATCTATTTTTTTAAGTGGACTAACTTTCACAGGTGCAAACCTGAGTTTGAAAAACAGTGTTCACTTCATCCAAATGAAGCACATTCTGACAAGCCAACCCAAGTGTCATTTGATAGTTGACTGTTCTTTTGCAGAATTTGATCATCACGTTGCAAATTTATTACTGCCATGATCACTATAAATCTTAATTAGAATTATGTTTACCACCTGCTTACCCCAGATAGTAATAGCGCCATGTTAATTGCAGCAAGCATATATTTCTCACTTGTGTGAATAAAAGCATTAGAAGATGGGGGAGAAGGGCAGAATGAAACTATTAATAATTATTTGTTGCAGTTCTGTTGATGCAGAAATGACACACTTCACCTTATTTCTTACATAAATATATTTAATATATAAATGTATAAAAGTAATGTATTTATTTATATAATAAAATATATGTATTAAAATGTAATTATATAAAAGTACAGAAGTGACATCTACACTTATTTTGACATATTTTCATGCTTTAATAGCATAAATGATCTCATGCTTGCAGGTAGCTACACTGGAAAAAGAAAAAGTGCTGGAGGAGCTACGAAAAGTAAAGCAAAGCAAAGTGCAAGTGATCAACGAGAGAACGCTGGATTATGCTACCAAGAAACCAGCAAATTCAGTTTCACTCCAGAATTCAAATACTTTTGAAATACACACAAACCAAGTGATGGTTGGTAACAGTCAGAGTGAGATCACTGACACTATACTTAGAAAAAGCTCAGTGTCTGATAAAGGCAGGTCTGGTAAAAGCCAGACTGTTTCATTCAATATCATTGATTCTGATTCCTCCATCGATCTTGCTTCTGGCTCGCCTATGACAAGTAAAGAGTCTTCTTCCAATAAAATTCAAGGTCTCAGAGGAAGGATAAGTATTAAAAAGTTGGTAAAAACAAAAATAATTACTCAGGAAATTGCACTCAAGTTGCAAACAGGCCTCATTACTATAGAGGAGATAGAGGCATCACTTGCTCAATTCACTGGTAAACCATCCTCAATTGCAGGTGTTTACATGGAGTCTAGCAAGAAAAAGCTGTCCTTCCTAGACGCTGCAGCAGGAGGAATTATATCTAAAACCTATGCCATTGAGTTTCTGGAAGCGCAAGCTACCACAGGATGCATCATTGATCCTATGACAGGTGAAGCGTACTCACCGTCAGATGCTTTTGAGAAAGATATCATTACTGGGGATCTCAAGGATAAAATAACTGAAGCTTACAAAGCAGTCAGTGGTTATACTCATGCTGGGAAGATTCTTTCAGTGTTTCAAGCTATGGAGGAGAGAATTATAGACAGGCATCGAGGAAAAGCTTTAATAGAAACACAGATCACTACTGGAGGGTTGATTCACCCATTGATTGGATGTAGGGTGCCCATGGATGGTGCGCTAGAGCAGGGGCTCATAAATCAAGCCACACTTCAAAGTCTCTACGATCCAGTCAGCAACCCAAAAGATTTTCACTTCCCAGAAACAGGGCAGAAGGCGTACTATAGCGAACTGCTCAGAATCTGTGTGTATGATGTCAACGGTGGAGTGTATCTTCTTCCTTTTGGTGACCAGCATCTGTACACCCTCTCACCATCCAGCAAACACAGGATATCAGTCATCGACACTTCTAATGGTGCGAAAATGTCAGCTTACGAAGCATATAAGGCTGGCCACATTGACAAGAGAACCTACCTGTTTCTCTCACAACAAGAGAGCGAATGGCAGGAGATAACAATCATGGACTCAAGTAGGAACCTTCTACACATCCTAACAGACCATAAGAGTGGGCGGCAGCTTTGCATTGAAAATGCTCTTAGTCTGAAAATTCTCCAAATGGAGGAGCTCAACAGCTACCGGAGTGGTCAGCTCAGTATTTCTGAGCTCGCTGATCTTTTGATTTCAAGAAGAGTTGTCTTTAAAGTCCCAAACAGTCCCGTCGCAGGACTCTGGGATGTGACTTTGAAGAAACGACTCCCGGTTTTCAAAGGACACCAGCAGAACCTTGTGGACCGACTCACCGCGCTGAGGTTGCTAGAAGCCCAGGCTTGCACTGGAGGCATCTGTGATCCAGCATCTGGAGAAAGGGTTCTGATTAAAGAAGCTCAACATCGAGGACTCTTGGATGAAGGTTTTGCCAGACAGCTCCAGCAATGTGAGCAAGCCTACTATGGTATCATTCACCCTCAGAGTGGAAAGACTTTGACTGTGGCCCAGGCGATGCAAGAGAACCTTTTCCCGAAAGATGTTGGAGTGAAGTGTCTTGAGTTTCAACTGGCGACTGGTGGGCTCATTAACCCAGACAGCCAAGAGAGAGTCTCTTTGGAGGATGCGATACAGAATTGCTTGATCGACAAAGCAACTGCTGTGCATCTTCAGCATGACAACTCTCATTCAAAATGCATCACCTGCCCCAAAACCAAGCGAAAAATGTCTTTCAAGGAAGCTCTAGAAAAGAGTGTCTTTGACAGCCACACTGGGTTCGTCCTTCTTGAAGCAACAAAACCCCATAGTACTGGCAATACTTCATCCTTCCAATACTTCTGGACCTATCGGCACTTCTGATATGGTTCTGGACAATGTCTAAAATCTAAAATCAGGTCATTGGTGAATGTTTTATGAATGGCGGAAAAAGTAATTGATATGGCTAGTTTATTTTCATTTAGCTTTATCAAACATAGAAGAATATATTGTTATCCTGAAAAATATCTAAGTCATAATGGTGAAAATGGGAGTCTTTAAATATGGGATTTTTTTCTACTGTAAGATATTATTTAAAAATGTCTCATATCTTGTGATCCATTTATTTCTTTTCAATGGCATTTTTAATTTATTGCCAAGCATGCTTCCACATAAAATGGCTGGGAGCATAAGACCTGCTGATTTCTTGTTGTATATTCTATTCAAACATAGAATTTAATAAGCTAATTGTGAATGTTTTACATTGTTTTCTAATCCACCCTACAATTTTTCCCCCAATGATTTTAGAGATCTGTTGATGATGAGAAGAAAGAGCATGGCGATAAGGTTAACAAGTTGTTAAATTGGATGTCCAGTATGAAAACAAATCTGAACAAAGATGCAAAGGCTCAAAGTGATGGCAAACCCAGCACTGAGAGCACTAGTAAGCCCCAGGTAAACAAGTCAAACTACCTGATTGTTTTTTTCATTGTTTTGTTCAACAGGTCTTCAGCTTTGGATCTTACAGGTTAAAGGGTTAGTTCACCCAAAAATGAAAATTAACCTGTGTTTTACTCACCCTCGAGGATCCTAGGTGTATATGACTTTCTTCTTTCAGAGGAATCCGATCGGAGTTATATTAAAAATTGTCCTGGCACTTCTAAGCTCTATCATTGCAGTGGGCTGGTGTTTCTGTGTTTCTGCGTCTCACATGGCTCCGGGGGGTGAATGAAGGCCTCCTGTAGCGAATCCATGCGGGCTAATTTTCATTTTTGCGTGAACTATCCCTTTAATTCATCTGTAGCTGTTTTAATGTCAGCATCTTGTTAACATAGTGAGCATTTCAGGGAATTGCTTTCATCATTTCCAAACTTTGCTAATGTCAAACACATCAGAACATACACATTTCCATTGTTATGTTTCTGAATAAAGATTATTTTGCATCTCTTCATATGTTTGTGTTGTTCACATACTTGTTACCTTCTTCTGTTATCCACCCACATTTCACAGAAAGTATTTACCCATAAAGTATCTATCCATTTATTGCAAGTAGTAATTTATATAATCACAATAATCACTATTTCGTTAGATCACATCTGAACCAGTCATCAGGTCACTTCCTATTTTTCACTGTTACACAAGAGACAACAATGATAATCCAATAAATTGTATCCACAAGCACATACATGGCTCAATCAAATACATCCACAGCATACATTACATGTACAGTGTGATAAACTGTACAAATTACACTGAGCATTAAATCACTGCATTCTTTGGTGGTTACAGAATTTCTTGCTTTAGTGATGCTGTTATATCTCTACATTTCATCAAACACAGTCCTGCACACCACTCATTTTGGAGTGCTGCTTGGTTGTCATAGCCAAGTAATTTAGGTGGTAAATGTTCTGTCGACTGACCCAAAGCAGAGAACAGTTTATATGCCATTTAAAATAAACCGTTTACCAAATTAGAAAGTTGTGTCTGAATGATCATTCATCCATTTACAGTGTCCCTAATGACAGACCTTCTTCCATATACTTCTCCAAACAAAAACTTTAGAACTCAATCGTGATGTTTATATAAACATGGCAACATATCTTTAAAAATACAGTGGGATCCAAAAGTGGCCACTTGTGGAAATGCTTGTATGTTGCATTTTCTGTTCATTACAAACACATTATCGGCCTAACAATTTGACTGGAAAGTATAACAGAAAAAATTACATGAATTTCATTTTTTTTGCTTTAACATCACAAACTCCATAAGTGTATGTAAGTGTATGATTTGTTCTAAGAGCATTTTATGCTTCAGTGGCACCAGTAACTTTTGTACAAGGCAGTTCACATGGTCACAAACTTGATTAGTTATCTATAACTGATTACTCAATAATTTTGAATATTGAGGTGGCTTAGTGGGTAGCACTGTCACTTCACAACAAGAAGGTCCCTAGTTCAATTCCCGGCTGAGTCAGGAGACATTTCTGTGTGGAGTTTCCATGTTCTCCTTGACTGGGTGCTCTGGTTTCTCCTACAACACAAAGGCATGCAGAATAAGTGAATTGGAGACACTACATTTTCTGTTTGTGAACTCCAATGAATTCCACAATTGTCCCCCACCTGTGGTCTGAGATGCTGGGATAGGCTTCAGCATCCCACTGACCCTACAGAGGATAAGTCCGTTTGGAAAATGGACAGATGTATAGATGGGAATTACAATACCTTCTTGTTTGAACTTTGTTTCTTTTACTGTTTTAGTTGAAGTGCGGTCATTGACCTTTGGATCCAAAAATATATATAAGATTAAATCATGGAATTTGTTTTCAGATGTTCAATAGTATCATATGCCTACATTTTCTGCAAATTGTATGGCTAATGGTTGTTTAGCAAACATTTTTCTGAGTTCCAATAGTTAAATGGCCTACAGTAGATGTTGGATGAAGTGGTTTTCGAAGTCATCTCAACCTAATTGTGATTTACTAAAACACTGTGCTTGTAAAGCTTTATTGACTTCCTATGTTTTATTATAGATGTCACTGGAGGAGATGGTGACAAAGAAGGAACAAATTGGAGAAGCATTGAGAACTACCCAGCTGATGCTAACCAAACACTGTGACAAGTATGTTATGTCCACGGAAGGGAAAGCATTCACTGAGAATGAATGGCGGCTCTAATAGCATTGTTTCTTTGCATGTGCTTGCATGTCTTGTGAATTGATTTTGTGAAATGTTTTCTTTCACCAGAATGACTGAAGAAGAAAAGCAAGAAGCAAAAGAACAGCTGAAATCTCTTCATCAGGCCTACAGCGAGCTCTCTCAACAGTGTTCAGATGCAGCTTCCTCAGCTGATCAGGTGAGATAAAGATATTCTGCCACTGGCAACCCAATGCTGGTTATATATGGTGGTTATTGTATGTGAAGTGTAAACACTTTCTCCAACGGCATGATTAACCTTTGTTTTGACAGCTTGAAATATATAGCATGGTAAGATCTCAGCCACTTTAACCCTTTAATCCCACCATTGCGAAGATGAAGAAAGACTTTGTGTGTAATTGAAAACTTCATGGTCAACTGAGTATGCTGTAAACATACATTGCATGCCAGCCACTCTCACTCTTTCTTCACAGCAAACCCTGAGGACATTCTTTTTGTCTACATGGGGTTCAGCACACTGCAGATAATAACATAATGCCCAGCGAGTTTTCTCTAACAGTGTTGTTCTACAAAATACTAAGAGTTCTGTTCACAGATGCATGTAAGCTTTTATTGTGTGCCATTTCTCTTGCTGATGACTTGCACTGTTGCACACGAGCTAGTCCAATCCATGGACCGGGTGAGTATGTTTGATCATTTTTATAACCAATATTGCAATGGAAATGTATCTAGTGATCATGTTTGAACATGCATTTAGAAACATCCTGATTTCTGTTATCTCTTTCCAGGCACTGCAGGTCATCCAAGGGATTCTGGATGTTGAAAGTGGAGCTGTCATGTCTGTGTGTTGCTCAGTGAACAACGGCCTCATCGACCAGAACACAGGAGTTGGTCTTCTAGAGGCCCAGCTTATAACCACTGGACTCATTTGGCCTGAACAGCACTTGTATATGGATTTGGAGGACGCATTCAAGAACAGACTTGTGGATGACGCGATGTGCAAGCAACTGCAAGAGTTGAATGAAGCTAAAAAATGTCTTCAGAATCTCCAATTTGCTTTAGAACCCTTGCCGGTTATAACAGCCCTGGAAAATGGGGCTATATCTGAGCAAACAGCAATAAAGATCATTGAAATCCAGCTTGCAACTGGAGGGTTAAGACCGACATACACTGGTGATATTCTACATCTGGAAAGGGCTTTTCAACTTGGCCTGATACCCGAGTCACTGTTTATCCAGATATTGGAGAGGAAGGATAGTTGGAAGAACTTGATTGACCCCAACACTGCAGAAAAAGTCACACTTAGTCAGCTTATGCAGAGCAGCATTGTGCACAAGCTGACAGGACTTTGCCTGCTTCCAGTGAAACGTGGAAAAGATGGAAATATATCCCTGATGACTGGGAGAGAGATTAGCATTATGAAAGCCATGCACGAGGGCATCATTGATAGAGAGACCATGTTTCGGTTGCTGAGCACCCAGTTGTTTGCAGGAGGCATAGTTGACCCCAAAACTGGCCGAAAGCTGACTGTTGAGGAGGCCTTATCCGAGGGTCTGATCGATCAGGACACTGCGAGTGAGATACTGAGCCATCAGGCCCAAAATGGTGGCATTGTTAATCCTTGCAACAGGTCGAGACTTACCGTCGATGAGGCTGTCCAGTGTGACTTAATAAGCTCCAGCAGTGCATTGTTAGTTCTGGAGAGACAGAAGGCCTTCATGGGTCTTCTTTGGCCTAACGCTGGTGAAATTCTCTCTTTCTCCACCTCTCTTCAGCAAAACATGATCACAGGCAAACTGGCGTCTGAGCTGCTGCGTAACCGGCACAAAATAACAGCCTTGTACATACCTGAAACCTCTGAGGTAGTTGACATTGACTCAGCGGTGGAGAACAACTTAGTTGAGACATTTACAAAAGAGTTGTTGAAGACAATAGAAATCCCAGATGTGTTCCCTGATATAGATGAACTGAATAACAGGTTTTCATCCTGGCTGGTAATGCGGGAGCTTCAAATCGATGGATCTTGTTCAGCCGGTGAAGAAATCAGTGATGAAAACAGCACAGATGCACCATCTCCCTCTGAGGCGAAACAGTTATTTATTTCCTACCTCATGATGAATAGCTATATGGATCCAAAGTCAGGCCAAAGACTGTTGATCTTTGATTGGCAGTTAAATAAAATGGCTAAATTACTCTTTGAAACATCAGAATCAGAACATGTAGATGAGACTAGCGGACTTCATATGAAGGTTTCAGAAGAGTCTCAAATGAATAACAACATTTCTGACAATGACAACGCTTGTCTGAATGCCGATTATAGTGCTTTGGGAGAATTGCAAATATGCAAACCTTTGGAAAGCACAATGGAAAAAGAGCATGGAGTGGTGAATTCTACAGCATTACACAATTGCCTAAAACCTACTCTACCCTCTGAATCTGTAATAAATACCATAGAAACTGATCGCAAATGGGATATTTTCCTAGACAGTGTTGGACATATGACTGTAATTGAAACTAACAGATGAATAGCTATATGGATCCAAAGTCAGGCCAAAGACTGTTGATCTTTGATTGGCAGTTAAATAAAATGGCTAAATTACTCTTTGAAACATCAGAATCAGAACATGTAGATGAGACTAGCGGACTTCATATGAAGGTTTCAGAAGAGTCTCAAATGAATAACAACATTTCTGACAATGACAACGCTTGTCTGAATGCCGATTATAGTGCTTTGGGAGAATTGCAAATATGCAAACCTTTGGAAAGCACAATGGAAAAAGAGCATGGAGTGGTGAATTCTACAGCATTACACAATTGCCTAAAACCTACTCTACCCTCTGAATCTGTAATAAATACCATAGAAACTGATCGCAAATGGGATATTTTCCTAGACAGTGTTGGACATATGACTGTAATTGAAACTAACAAACTGTCTAAGGATTCTACATGTTCAAACACAGACAAGTGCCAAGCAGAAACAAGTGACGTAGCTTCTCCTCAACCATCGGAAGCAATGCAGTTACCACAAACAACCTTTTCTATAGTAGCAACTGCCTCAAGTTTGTGCTCGATGGAAGTGAATCCCGAATGTCATGATGCCAATAAAGGCAAGGAAAAACATTCAAAAGACTCCACACTATTGTCCAGTGAAACAATCAGTTATACAGAAATGCCCTCTGAATTTCCACATACAGAGGTTGTTTGGGATGACAAACTTGAGAGAGATTATGCCATTCATCTTCTTAGGGCACAAGTGGAGGAAGGTGGGATTTTAGATGTCACCTCTGGAAAACGGTATGACCTTGAAGCTGCTCTCGGTAAAGGCCTTATTGATGAAGAGACTGTCTTGGAAGTACTCGCACTGCAGCTTCAAGAGGACGGTTTGAAAGAGACCGAAAATGCTACATTGTCAGTTCTGAACATTTCTGTCAGTAAAGGCTGCATCTCAAGTAAGGGAGCACTACAGATCATGGAAAAGCAGAACCTTCTGGGTGGTTTCTATGATGCAGCAGCTGGAAAAACCATTCGCATTTGTGATGCTTTAGAGACGGGTCTGATTACTGATGATCTCAGCAGAAGTGTTCTCTCTTCAGAGGCAATCAGGAAGGCCATCATTGATCCAGAGGGAAAGTGTGTGCTCAGTGTAAACGATGCCCACCAGTCTGGGATGTTGGATGATGAAGAGGCTGAGAGGATGCTACATTCACAACAGGATGAAAGGGAAGACGTTATGGTGCCTGACTTAGCAAAAAGAGGCCAGATGAGCTTGAGATCAGATGAAGCCACGCAGGTATCTACAGACATAGCATGTGTGAGCAGTAGTCAGGGTTCTCTGTTACCCACCATTACTGACACACCATCTAAAGGTATTTCAACAAAAGACAATATGTTTGATACATTTTCTGAGACTAATGGAATAGGGGAGGATTGTGATGAACAGTGTGCTAGTTTCAAGACTATAGATTCCAAAAACAACACAGACACTACAGATGAAAGAGAAAGAGGTTTCACTTTGGAAGGAAATGAGACAGAAAGACCACATAACAGCGTGGACACTTTTGTTGTTGATGATTCTTGTAAAACTGTAAGTCCTTCTCCATGTGTCAGGCAGGTGGCATATCTTGAGACAACGACGAGTCAGGTTGTTAGCCCTGTACAGAGTGACTGTGGGATATCATGTTCATCACAAAGTGATATCTGCTCTGAAGAAAGGAAATCAGAGAGTGTACCTAATCCTGAACAGGAATTCAACAGGTCCAAAGTGGAGTCTGAAACAAATGCATATTTTGACACAAGGTCTTCTGAGGGCTTAAGCACTTCAATACCAATGGCAGAAGATGTTGCACAAGTTATAACACTTGCTGAACCGCAGTCAAACTCATCTTTATGTTGCACAAGTGCCACTATAGCAGGGGTGAATTTAAGTACTGATGAGCAGCACACATTAGCTCAGAATATGCTGAATGAGAAAGAGGAGGTGTCATCTCAGACCAATGCATCATATAAATACTCCAATAATGTAAGCGAGAACCTAGATGATGAGCATTCTGTTGAGGATTCAGGTGTGTTTAGTTCTGAAAATAGAGTAAAGGACATGGTTAAATATGAGGACAGAAATGCACCACAAACAGAAGTTGAGCCCAGTGCGGTCTGTGCAGAAAGCAGTATTGACTGTAAGGTAGAAAAGAATGATGACACTGAAAACTCTGTAGGTTTCAAAGGATCTGAGGACACATGTCAGCTCAATTTAATGGATTTAGTTGGATCAACAGTAAATTCCGAGCAGTTACCACTTGAAATTGTTACTAATTCTAGTCAAGGTGATTCAAGTGGAGGTAACCATAACATACAGCACCCAAGTGAGCAAGGCATATTTTGTAATCATGTAGCCCCAAAGACCACTACAAAAGATGAGTTAGCCAGATCATCTGAATCAGACTTTACAAGTGACAATGATACACAAGTAAAAGACTTGGTAGAAACGCTAGAGTTATCCTCAGGTCATTGTTCACAGGATATAATCACAGAATTCAATGATTTGCAGTCTGCCTCCCAAATTCCAAGTCCTTCAGTCAAAATCATGCTTGATCAAAATAGCGAACAAAGCGGAGACATCTTCAACCAGTGTCAAGCTGGAGATACAGTGGTTGCTGAAGGTGTACACCAAGATGATCTTCATTTACCTCACATGGCAATGGCCGAAGATGAAAGTTTACCAAAATCAATGGGAGGCAGTGATTTAAAGTCTTTTTTAAATGAGATAATCCAAATGAAGATGGATGGAGCAAGTGTGGATGAGACTCAAAAACAAAAATGCCAAGCCATCGATAGCATTATTAAAATTATTCAGCACCACTCTGGAATCTCACCAACCAATCATCCCAACTCAAATGAGAGAGGTGGGGATCCTGATATCCTCTTGGATTTGAAAAAACATGAAGAACGAAGAGAAGCTCAGAACTGGCCATCTGATGAGAGTAATGATGAACCAAAGCATCAGACTGATCTACTGGAGATGATTCAGGGGATCTCCACAGATAGAGATAAAGGAATGCTCGAGGAAGTGGATGGAAAGCCAAGCAGCCCTTTGGGAGGCACTGCCCTGAGAGAAGAAAGCATGGAAGCCAAAATCATTCCTGTTCCAACCACAGATGATGCTGCTGCTGCAGATGACGACTTCCAGCCAACCGACTCGAACCACCTGGTTTCTATGGCAGAGGATCCATTCATACAGCAAACAGACGGAGTCAAACCTAGAGTGAGTACTGATACTACTCTCAACTGAGTTAGATGCTGATTTTTGTATTATCAACTCTGCGTCATCCAGATGCATGTTTTGGATGAAGGTGTAAGTATAATGGTGTACTTCTTGCAGAGATATTCCACCCAGAATTACTTGGAATGTGTTGGGAGGCTTCAGGATCACTGTGATACTCTTGAAGATATAAGAAGCGACTTGCAGACCAAGGGTCCGTTGGCAGAAGACATTGAGGGGTTGCATTGTCAGTTAGAGGAAGTTCAGGTTTGTCACTTATAAAATATAAAGCCTCAGTTCCCTTGACTCACAGAGTTGTTTGCCTGTGCCTTCTTTCTGCATAGTTATCTGTGCTGTAGTCTATCGCTTGTTCCTTTTATTCTGTCGCTCTTCTTCACAATTCCTTCCTTTTGTTCCCCACCTACTCCCACACTGTTTCTAGTCTCTGGAAGCACAGATTGCCGCTCTCCCTGACTTGCTTACAGCAGATTTGAGTGTAGCAGAGCAACTTCTGAATTCCGCTGATGAACTCGTTCCCACGCAAATCCACCAAGATTTGGCCACAGTCTATGTAGATTTACAGAATGCTTTCACAGATGTTTGCCACTTGTCAGCTGAGCGAAATAATGCTATTCTGCTAGCCATTGAGACAGTGAAGGTTAGTAAAGGCTTGTGAAAAGAAAGCAAGAGTAAATAGAGAATGATGAAAATTAGATTCTCACACTTGTTCAAATATGGGTTACAGATCCATTTGGAAACCTTGTATCAGGATTTGCTAAGCTCTCTTCAGAAGGTCTCAGCTTGTATGCAAGACAATTCTGAGATGGTGTCTAAGCTTGATATCATGGATGCTGATAACATAGGAATAATTAAGAACAAGATTCAGCAAAATAAGGTAAGTTGACTTGTGTTATTTCAAAGTTGCGTGAAATACAAGTCTTTTCATACAGTTAAAAAGTGATGTCTATCTCCCATATCAAATGAAGCCACTATCTGTTCAACAGTTTTGCTTAGTGTTTTTCATTGTTCGTGATTCAGGACATAGAGAAAGACTTATCAGGAACCCGACAGCTCCTGGAAGATGCTGCTTTTGATATCCAAAACTTCATTTCTGAGCATGCTCAGTTCCTGAGTCCCACTGACAGCAGACACCTTCTAAGGGCTCTTAGCACTACTCAGAGATCCTTCAAAGAGCTCATGGACAGAGTCTTCACTCAGAGACAAGCTCTAGAGATCCAGTTGGAGATCTGTGAGGATGAGACTCAGCAGCAGGTCTGAGAGAGATCGAAGAGATCACACTGACCATTGACCTTTATCTAATAACATTAAAATGCATGAAGTTGCTGCTTTGATGTGTGGTATATTTTGATATGAAGCACTGGAAAACTCATTGCCCTTAAAGAGGAAACCCAAAAGACCCCATGAAGTGGCTTGTATGCAGTTTCCTTTGGTGCATTGACATTCTTCCTTTTGAAACAAGAAACTGGTGCAGAACATGTTGAACAATTTGCTAATCCTGTTTAAAAATAGACAACAGCACTGTGTTTAAGCCATAGTCATTAACTTCATTTGCTACTTGATGTTGCAAAATGTGGATATGCCCATGGGTAGGGTTGCAAAAAGGTGGAAAATTTCCAGTAAATTTAGGAAATATTCCAGAAATTTTGGAAACTTTCCAGGATTTTTTTGGAATAATCCAGGGATTTTTGGAAAGTTTCCGGAAATTTACTGGAAATGTTCCACCCCTTTGCAACCCTACCCATGGGCAATGGCTATTTTTTAGCAATTTTTACCAACTTTTAGGAGTTTAGGAGCCTGTAGAGTAAATTTCAGCCTCAAAACTAAATTTTTCACTTTGTGGGGTCTTTAAAAAGAGTTTTGGTCTATTCATGAATGTATTATTTGTGTGCGGTGTGATGTTCATTGCAGTGCTCTGAGTTTAATCACGTTACTTTTTTTCTATTTACAAATCAGAAAAGCCATGGCTTGATCACTGCCACCAACTTACCTTCTTCTGATCATGTTTGCATTTTTCAGGCTGCCTGAACCATTTCAGCTCTTAACTACCAAAGGACCAACGTTTTATTCAATGTGGATATGCTTTCCAGCAGTAAAGGCAGCACTAACCCACCTTTCTGTACCATTGCCAAAATCCCTTTGAACGGCTAGCATGTTTACAGCATACTCAGTCACTACTAATGGTTAAATGCTCAGTATTTGGTGTGCTGCTGTGTTTTAGCTCTGTGGAGTAGGTTTTAGTTTTTCTTTCTAACTGAGTGTTTATGTGGTAGGCTGCTGTGGAGAAGCAGAGGGAGTTTTCAGAAAAGCTGCAGGAGCTGTTTGATGATCTGACACAGACAGAAAACCGCCTCATTGGCCACCAGCAGCAGGCTGCCAGTGCAAAGACTGTGGGAGACCTCCAGCAATACCAACAAGAGCATCAGGTACAACCTGTTCTACGACTTGTACATGTAATGCATTCATTTGTAAGGTTATTGGTGGTCTATGTTAAGCATCATTACCTGTGTCAAAACATAGACACAAATCTGATCCCACACATTTATGGAACAACCATGAAAAATATCTGAAGTATAAATAAGGTGTGCTGTTAATTTTAAATGACCCAACACCATTTTTTAAACATCCTAGCAACTCTCACCCACACCACTCTAGCAAGACTCAGTAAATGCTTAGCCATGCAACCACACAAATCAACCTAGCAATGCCCCAGCAATACACCCAGACAACTGTACCAACACCTTCACAAGTGCCTAGCAATGCGTTGGCAATGGTTGGCAACAGGTAACCCTTACCTGTGGTAAAATCACTGTAACACATGGCCTTGTGTGGCTTGTTGTGATTAATTGTGTGTGTGTGTGTCTATGTTGGTCTCTCAGGCTTTACAGAAAGACCTCCAGGCTAATGCCAGTGCGCTCAATGAAGTCATCAGTAGCACAAAGAAGTTTCTGGAGGAGAATCGCAGTAAACTCACTCCAGAGCAGATATCGGCTCTTGAGAACAAACTGGAGGAATTGAAGAGCAAAGCGAATATGCTTAACCAGAAGGCAGAAGAGTCAAGGAAGGATCTAGAGCAGGTTTTGACCAGTGCTATCAAGCAGGAGACTGAGAAGGTTAGAGGGGAAAAACACTTTCCCAAACACTATTCAATCAAAAGGTTTCAAAAGATTGAATTTAGTCACTTCCTCCATTGCATTTAGTTTGTGTTGGCTCTAAGACGTATTTTTGTTTACTTTCTTTGATTATTTTCTGTAAACCAAAGCTATTTTTCCTCTCTGTACTGTACAGGAGGCAGCTGTTGAACAACTTGAAGAGAGCAAAACTAAGATTGAGGGTCTTCTAGGCTGGATCTCCAACATTGGGAAAGAGAAAGAAATGGGTGGAATACAAAAGGACCAGATGGTTAAACAGAATGGAAACATGCCTGAGTACACATCAATGAAGGGAATAATTGGAGAGGAAGATGATCCTAATGGAAATGCATTAGATACTACAGACAACACAAGTCTACATGCTGGCGAAAAACAAGACGGTAAAGACCTGGATCTGGACCAGCAGTTTAACAGGGTTCAAGTAAGTACTTGAGTATATACTGTACAGTGGTGCTTGAAAGTTTGTGAACCCTATATAATTTTCTATATTTCTGCAAAAAAATGACCCCAAAAACTGTTTTAGGTCCACCCACAACATTTTAATTGGGTTAAGGTCTGGACTTTGATTTGGGCATTCCAAAACATGAACTTTAACCATGCTTTGTTAGAACGACTTGTGTTCTAGGGGTCGTTGTCTTGCTGCATGGCCCACTTTCTCTTGAGATTCAGTTCATGGACAGATGTCCTGATATTTTCCTTTAGAATTTGCTGGTATAATTCAGAATTCATTGTTCCATCAATGATGGCAAGCCGTCCTGGCCCAGATGCAGCAAAACAGGCCCAAATCATGATACTGCAATCACCATGTTTCACAGATAGGGCAAGTTTCTTATGCTGGAATGCAGTGTTTTCCTTTCTCCAAACACAACACTTCTCATTTAAACCCAAAAGTACTATTTTGGTCTCATCCATCCACAAAACATTTCTCCAATAGCCCTCTGGCTTGTCCACATGATCTTTAACAAACTGCAGACGGGCAGCAATGTTCCTTTTGGAGAGCAGTGGCTTTCTCCTTGCAACTCTGCCATGATACCATGGTTGTTCGGTGTTTTCTTGATGGCGAACTCATGAATATGAACATTAGCCAAAGTGAGAAAGGCCTTCATTTGCTGAGAAGTTACAATACTACTGTGTACTATTACACTTCTCATGCAAAATGGAATGGAAGCCAGGCAAAGACAATGATCTCATGTAATTTTCTGCACTAGATGGCAATTAAGTAATTTGGACATCTTCTTGCGTCACTTCTTTCTTTTGGAGTGATCTTTGTTGGTCTTGAATTAGTCTTGAATTTCCTTTAATATTTTGGTCGCATTTGTTTCAGTTTTTTGTGGGTCATACTTATGCAGAAATATAGCAAATTCTAAACTTTCAATCACAACTGTATATGTAAATATCATGACTTGACAAACATTTCACCTACTGAGATTTTTTAAGAAAATGTAGAAACAAGGGCTAAACAATTATATTCACCATAAGGTCATTTATTTATATTGGTGCATTAGACCCAGAATATTTAACTTAATGGTGACTGTAACAACGTTCGTAGGCACGGGAAGAAGGAGGCGGGAACCGGCGAACACTTAAACAAAACTTTAATAAAATAAGCACAAAATAGCGCGACAGCCCCTCGCGGACGACTGTCGCGCACAAAAGAAACCAAAACACAAAATAAAATCCAGGCCTGGTCCTCTCTCGTCCAACACTGTAGTCACTCCTCCTTTATCCTTCCGGAGCTCCTCCGTGAGACTCGAGACCGGTGAGTGGGTGCAGGTGTCCCTCATTAGCAATCACTCCACCGGCCTCGCTCCGTTCCCACGGCTCTCGGCCCCGCCCCCGCTCGTCACAGTGACTTGTTAACAGCCTAAATGAGATTCAGGTGAAAAAGGGGAAAACAATTCAACAACACTGAATAAAACGCATTCGATTTTAAAATTCAAAGGAAATATAATGGCAATAAAATGCTTTGACTTACTAGCTCTTGATTCTCGATTCACAGGCCCACCACCAGGAGATCTTGTCCCAACAGCAGGATCTGATCATCGCCACACAGTCAGCACAGGCGTTACTCGACAAACAGGCTCAGGTCCTGTCACCCGCTGAAAAAGACAAGTTACAGAGGGACATTAAAGAGCTGAAGGGTCGCTACGAGGCCTCTCTCACGCAGGCCGAGCAGCAGATGAAGCAGGTCCAGACCGTCCAGGAGGAGCTTCAGAAGTTCAAGGGGGACTGTGAGGAGTTTGAGACGTGGCTACAGCAGGCCAAAGGGGAGATGAAGGAGCTCGGTGCGCCCGCTGCTGGTCTGGACACTCTGAGTAACAATCTACAGAGACAGAAGAGTTTCTCTGAAGACGTCATGTCTCATAAAGGAGACCTGCGCTTCATAACCATCTCCGGTCAGAAGGTGCTGGACGCTGCGAAGGCCTGCGATCACAGTGAATCGGACGGCCTGCCGATGGTCGATATGTCCGGGACTTGTGCTGCAGTGAAAGAAAGGCTGGACTCTGCCGCCAGTCGCTACAAAGCCTTGCATACGCAGGTATTTCAAATGTCAAATCCTAGAGGTCACTGCAAATCAAAAACAAAGAAAGAAATTCTGTTTTGCTTTAAAAAATGAGCCTATTTCCAGGAACATTATAATTGAATTCTCGGTCACACTTTATTTTAAGGTCCAATTCTTGCTATTGACAAACCATTAATTACGACTTTTGCCTCAATAAACTCCTAATTTGCTGCTTATTAATAGTTAGTAGGGCAGTAGTTAAGTTTAGGGTATTGAGTAGGATTAGGGATGTAGAATATGGTCATGCAGAATATGTGCTTTATAAGTACAGCCAATATGTTAATAATAGGCTTGCTAGCTAATTAATACTGAGAATGGGTCCCTAAACTAAAGTGTTAAGAGTAGTTTCGAATCATTTTGCTGGATGGGAAATTAAGCACTTTTTGATTACAACCAATAGATGGCAGCATTTGCCTCTAAATTCTGCAAACAGTATTCAGCAGAAACCCTTCAGTCTTTTATATAAATAATAAAAAAATGAAACTAATTCTTTTAAATGATACACTGAAAAAACATACTTCTGATGCATTTCAGTGTAATCAGCTTGGAAATAACCTGAAAGACGTGGTGGACAAATACAAGAAGTATGAAGATGCCAGTGGTGCTCTGGTGAAGTGGCTGAATGCCTCTGAGGAAGAGTCCAGAAGGCAGCAGTCTGAGCCTATTGCTGGAGACCCACAAACCCTACAGAGACAGCTGGAGGAGACCAAGGCAAGAGCATTATGACACGATAACTGTATTTGTCCAAATATATACATTGTATTGGTCATTCTCATTTGAGCAATTACATTTTTGGAATTTGAGTATTATATAATCATATATAACAATGCTACTACATCCACCTGAAACTCATGACAGCATAAACTCTCACTTCTGAGTGCCAACAAGAGTTCAAGATGTCATTATAGATGTCATCTCCAGCTGCATACCCATTACTCTCTTTGAAACAATAGAGCTACAGTGGAGAAAACAAAACAAAATCTGTATTTTCCCAAAGATAAAAACATCCATACAAACTAATAATAATATGTATTATATAGACCAAAATATACCTAATCAATATATTTTCCTTAGACATAAGCCAGAAAGTTACCTAATATCTGTATTTTTTTTTTTTGCAATTTAATTTCATCATAAACAAAAGCTGAACAAGCTATGAAAGTATTATTTTCACTTAAGATAGAACTAAAAACAGCACTCTAGTACTATTTAAACAAATTTGTTTCTTTATTTTTTTTCTATGGAGACTGTTATTCGCTTTCAGAAAAACTGAACATACCAATATAAAAATGCACTTTAAATAAATGACACAGTCGTTTCATTTATAGCCCTTAAAACATGCCACAACACATATAACTTACAGTAGCTCAGATTTAATTTGCTTGTGTTGTATTATAGCTCGCTGTTCTTGCAGAAGTGGATACAGAAGCAGACAATGCTAATCATACTTAAATAGATTACTTCTCCCATGATGCACTCAGACCAGATTCGGCTGAGCAGCAGTGAGATCAGATACACACACAGAAAATATATTCATGCTGCATTACTGTTCTCTAGGGATGTACTGTATAGTACAACTGTCTTCTGACCTTGTATGTATATGTCCTTATGCTAAATAACTCAGCCTTTTTAATGTCCCTGTGTCGTATGGCCTGTGGAGATGGATATAGTTCACACACAATTGATGTTGTGCTTTTAACATAATCAGTCTATTGGCTGCAGTCCTATTAGTGGAGTGTAATAAGCATTGGTCTGTGACAGAGTCTTCAAGGGCAAACAACGTCCCGTCAGGCTGCGGTGGATACGCTGAGAAAAACAGCTGATGCCTTGATCAGTGCAGAGGGAGACCTGCTGTCCCATCCAGGGGAGATTCAGGAGACAGTGGGTGAGTCAAAAATCTCACAAAAACATGTCTGGGTCACATTTCACACCAGAAGCATAAAAAAAAGCATTTTGAATAAAGAAAATAAAGCCTATTTTAAGACCATGAAGAATTTAAATCAGCATAACTTAAAAGCAGTATAACATATACAAAGAAGTTTACATTATGTATGATTAGATGCTAAAATACTGTAATAAGCAGTTTCTTTTCATAAAATATTTTTGGGAAGAAAATCATTTATTAATGCTTTTCTGTTTGTAGATGACATCGTAGAGAGATACGACAACCTGTCGAAGTCAGTGAGTGACCGCAATGAGAAGCTGCAGGTGACTCTGACGCGCTCCCTGAGTGTGCAGGACGGCCTGGATGAGATGATGTCCTGGATGGAGAAGGTGGAAGAGAGTGTGAAGGAGACACCTAAAGTGCCGCTGGACTCCAGCTCCATTGCAGATGCACTTAGCAAGGAGGCAGTATGTGACCTTTGACCTGTCATCCAAAGATACTATGCACTGTATATTACAAAGCGAATACGTAACCACATAGCGAAAACTTACCAGACAAAACTCTGTAATGCACAGTTACAGGGATAGTCCACCCAGAAATGAAAATACCGCCTCATGTTGTTGTTGTTTGCATTTCATTCTTCTGTGGAACATAAAAGAGTTTATGAAGAGTATTGGGAACCCAACAGTTTTGGATCCCATTCACTCCCATTGTATCAATATGAAGAAGAACTTTAAGATGACTTGAATTCAAAATTGACCAGTGCCAGTCAGAGATAGTGTCTGGGAAAATATGTGACCCTGAACCGCAAAACCAGTCATAAGGGTCAATTTCTCGAAATTGAGATTTATACATCATCTGAAAGCTGAATAAATAAGCTTTCCATTGATGTATGGTTTGTTATTTGTAATTTTTGACTGAGATACAACTATTTGAAAATCTGGAATCTGATGGTGCAAAAAAATCTAAATATTGAAAAAATCGCCTTTAAAGTTGTCCAAATGAAGTTCGTAGCAATGCATATTACTAATCAAAAATGAATGTGTTTTTATATTTACAGTAGGAAATTTACAAAATATCTTCATGGAACATGATCTTTACTTA